ACAAAAAAAGTTGTGTGTTGCCGTCTTATATGCAATGCAAACAAGAGCGAGAGTAATTCGAAATTCGCTTTCTTTCAATTCTCTACTGTGTAATCAGGGCTTTCACCCGCTCAGTTTGATTGTATGGTCTCTCTAAACTCAGCACAGCCCTCTGACAAACAATGTACATTTGTCGCATATATATAGAAGCTGCAAATTTAGTCTGCTATTTATTACAACAGAACGGTAAGCATGATTTTATACTTATTTGTTTCTTACTTGATATTTGACTCACATTTTTCTCGAAAATGATTTGGGAAGCACAGTTAGTAGTATAGGCTACATTTTACAAGCAAATTATATTTACATAGCTTAAGTCGAAGATGAAACTTTTCGATAATTATCGAAGAAATCAGTTCACACAGAACCATCAAATTCTAAGCGATATCGTAACGTTTCCATGCTGAACCGCACATTGAGTGAGGGTTGTCTTGTGCTGTTTTCTAGGCTATCACATAACACAAGCAATTAGACTCTTGATAGTGGCTTTTTATGACTTAAAGGATGTATTCTAATATCATCTGCAAGTTATTTCCTGTATCCTTCAACCTCAATTACATTTCTTATTTCATAAAACAAGCCATAATAGTTTCTTCTTTCGTTGGTTATTTTCATTTAAAAGTGGTTTATTGACAATCGAAGAGAAGCTAGCTCCGAAATCTATTATCTTATTTATTCGCAAAACTAAAATGCCTAAAATCTTTCCTTTTATTATTGGAACCAGTCGGTCTCAATGGAAAACAGGATGCAACATGTTCTCTTTGATTACTCAGTTGATCGATTTTTATATGAAGAGCAACAATCTCTACCATTTGTTAACTTCATCTGACATCATACATCACTAAAGATCATTTCAACGGTTGTAACATGTATAAAGCCAAATGTGTCTTGAAACTTTTCTAGCAGTCTTTTAACTCTCAGCTATATCACTCGTTAAAGAATTGGCCGAAAGAGACAGTGAAATATCGCTGTATCTATCCATAATGAAAGAAGAATTGAAAGTCAAAAAACAGAAAAGGTACGTTCTTGTTCTTGAGATTCCCGAAAGTTTTAGGTATTTCGAGAAGTTTTGAAGATAATTGAGGCTTAAAAGCTCAGCTGGTTCCTCATTACCGAAAATGATGTGTTTTTAGGAATCGATAGGAGCAGTAATTCTAGTTTTGTTGTAGCCAATAATATCATTTTGGTGCTGTAAGATCTCGACTTTTTAAGATTGTATAATAGAACTCTTGGAACGGTGAAATCATTGCAGCGGAAGTTTTCTCTGACAACATTATTCTTTCGAGAAACATGCATAGCAGCAAGTTTGTATGGAATGACCACAATCTAATCTATCTAATTTGTATTTTTCTCGAGAGTTAAGATACACATGGGATAGAAAAATGAAGTAGCAGTAAATTGAAATGATCAATTTTTTCATCTCACTGCTGAATAGCACAGAATACTCGTTTTCCTAATCGATGCGACATGTTTTTGGTATGCGCATTGACGTCATGGTCCTCGCTAAGATAGCCATCGGTGCAAATAGTATGGTAATCACAACCTTGTGTTGTATCTATGTGTGGTTGTGGATCAGTGAGAATGATGAATAGAACCTCATTCCGATATCCCATCTTTTACAGACCTAAAACAATCAGCTAAACATCGTTGACCACTTCCGATCAATGGCAAGAGACTTTCACTTTATTTCATATTATGATGTTGAAATAGATAAACAGTACACCAACGATACACCTATCGACGAACAACAATGTCATTCGATCTCGTCCGTTATGATCTGGCTCCAGCTGGATGTAAGTACATCGCTTTCATTAGATATCGAGGTGAGTTAAATATCTTATTTGCTTGTGAAAAACATTAGATACACCTGGTATGAAATTTAGTGGGTCGTTTGTGAAGCCTGGTAAGTCGATTCATGACATTTTTACTTGTTACATTTCATTGAACAAATAGCTCATTTCTCCTTTCCTCCATCCTCAATGTGGTCGTCTCGGTATGCTAAATACACGGAGAACATCGTTGGCGGTCGAATTGGAAGTGTCACTGTACAATTGATCGAAGATGGCATACCTGTCCATTCTCTGAAGATAACCGAACAGCAGTATCATAGCAGTCAGTATAATCTATGCTTAAGCTATCACTTTGGCAGTCTTTTGTTGATTCATTGTTCTGTAGTGCCTGTTTACTCATCAGCTCCAAAATTGTTATGGGGTGAATTCGTACAGGTCTTGAAAGTATTTATGTTGGGTAATCAACAAGAACGCGAATCAGACATTGTGAACGCCTTCGATCTTCTTGATCAACAGACAAGAGGTCTCTACGGCAGGCCAGTCAGCCTACCTGACGGCCTGATTTCACCAGACGAACTCCGAGCATTCTTGTCGATCCTTTGTGATGAAGTATTTGTTTAATTTAATAAGAGCAGACTTTATTGGCTTCTAATCATTGTTTCTTTTAGTATCGTGTTAGTCTTTGCGCCTATCTAGCTGACACAAATGACTCTGGCCAAATTAGTCTGTCCGAATTCAGTCAAATGGTCAAGTCAGGACTGGCAAGAGATGTTGTCTGTGGACGCATATAATGGTTTGAATGAGAACTATCCTATAAACGTATCTTCCAAGAAATCTTCCAAAACTTTTAGCTGTCCTTTTTAAATATAGATAATAGAATGAAAATTTTCAATAAAGTTAAATAGCTTTCACAAGAAAAAAGCAAATAACTTGATTCTTTCTTTCTCTTCATTTGCATTCAAAGGTCGACTGTCTTTGGCATGGCTTCGCATGCCATTCTAACTTGAAAGCTTTCTCTAATATGACCTAACTTAATCTTTTATGCTCAAGACAGAAAAAATGGACCATAATAATTGCCTATATATATATGTCTTTTTATCCGTTTATCTTGCTCCATCATGTTGTTAGCCTGCAGCAAGAGGAACCAGGCAATATAAAAAAGACAAGGTGAGGGTGCTTGTGTATTGGAGCTACCATGACACGCTTTGATCCGCTTAAAGAGAATGTGAATGTGTTTATAGAAGAATGATTCTAAGCATCATACGATGCCTTTCGACTATCGCTCAGATAGTAATGATCAGGTATGTTCAGAATCGTAAATCAATCCATATCATTGCTATATAATACTGTCATTCATCACACGATACAGTGAGGTGATGTATTCACAATTATGTTTACGAAAATACTCGCATAAAATGATGGAAATCGAAGTATGCATTAAGTGGTCATCTAAAAATGGAAGCATGACATTTCAACATTGATTAGAAAGTTTTAAGTAAAACTTCGATTCAAACAAATTTCCAAAAGTGCTTTAAACCTACAATACCAGTGCTAATCAGAATCGATCAATATGTAAAAAATTTGGCTATGCATCATTCAAGCTAGCCGTTTGAAAGTGTAGGGATCCGTATGAGGGTGTGAGTATGAATGTGAGTGTGTATAGCTACCACAATACCTGCTATTTCGATGTTGTTGAATAACTCATCTTATTAAGTGACACTAGGATATTAGTACAGAAGATCCAGAATAAAATTTTTGTATAGAATATTCACCGTTCTACGACAAACGGTGCTTGTTTCTGTTTTGTAGGAACGTCATCAGGTGGAATCTCAAATATATTATAAAAATGGATAAGAGATTGAGAGGATCAAACAATGATCATTTGGGAACTTTGCTCAAGGATAGGAGTAGGTGTGGGTGTGAGCGTGAGTGTAGTTAAAGACATCATTAAACCCACACTTACATCCACACGCACACCCATACCCTCAGATGGAAATTCCAGTCCTAGTGCCAGCTATCTCGCAGGAAAAAACGTGTGAAACAGCTGTTTTTGTATCGATCTCGAAATAGTTTTAGAGCACGCGATTTTTAGAGAAGCAAGCCTAGTATTTCTTGAACGGTAGCAACTGTGACCGAAACGGCATCTATACCCAAACTTATTTTGTCTTACCATGGAGATCTATTATTAAAGTTTTCGTCTTTTTTTATTTTTCTCACACATTTGTCTCATGTACGATTGGTGTTTATACTTTTTAGGCGTACGACAAGCCGAGAGTATGTCCCTGACACCAAATAATCTTTTAAATATTTAGCTAATGACACTATGAGAGTCCCATAATCGATTCTAATTTCTATTTTAGAAAATCAAGAAAAATCGTACTAGCTGTTAATTAGAAAAATAGAATAATTGGACATATTTATTTCTCATCTAAGTTATTGATTTGCAATAAATCTTGGACATGTTTGAAGTTAATGTGAATATGGACAACTGGTAAAAAGTAATAATTATGCTTTTCTTAAAACAACTGTAAAATAAAAACGACACTGAATTTTAATAAGAATTTTGCTTCACGTTTTTGAAAGATGATATCATACAACGCACCGAATACCAGTTTTGCTAAAAGCAGAAGAGTTAGTGACATCGTGTGTGAGATGCAGAACACTAAATATCGAATAACAGAGCGAACGTTATCTGTAAAGTGATGAACAAAATGACACAGGTTATTCCATCTTCACACAGATCATTTGGGACTCGCATTTCATATCATTACTTTTGTGCATTCACTTTTTCAGAATTAATAAAACTAATTGCATCGATCAATTCGAACCCAACTGAAAATTTCTAATTCATCATGATTTCATTCAATACGAAGCCAACGCATCCATTAGTCTTTGCCAAACATCGTAATTATAAACACAGATTCTGCTGTCGCAACAGACAATGTATCAAAAGGTGAAAATAGAAGAAAATAATAAAATATGTAACATTAACATTGTACGAACTTACACTGAAAAGCTGTTAGCGCAATCTCTGCGGGATTAAAATGTGAAACACGATGCAGCTGTTGTTACTAGTCACACGAATATGTTTTCTTGGATATCTTCGGATCCGTTAATCAATCATTGTTTATTAATTCCTCTGAAGCTGCAAAAAGGAAGCAGTTGACATATTTTCACGAAATTCTAGCGACATTTAATCGTACTTCATATAAGAACAGGTCTATCTATTTCTGTAATGGATACTGGGTTTCTCTGTCATGGTCTGTGTGGGGAGGGGGGGTGCAAATTTCTGCCCCTAAACACTTCAACACTCCTCTCAGATCGTGTTTCACAAAAGGAATAGGTGCTGTACGGAATCTATTTTAAAACGAAATTTAAACATTTTAAAAGGTTTTTTGTGACTCAAAGACATCTTCAAAAGATTAATCAAAGCGCCAGTATTCTTTGTTTAAAATTTCATAGGTTTCCTATGAAAACTTCAAAACATTTTTGAGTTTGTTTCGAAAATAGAAATCTTTAAAATGTCATACGACGTCAGAAACCAGCGGTAGTTCGATATGGCACCTATCTTTTTTCAGTGTGTTACACATAAGTAACCGCATAAACGTCGACGCCTGTTCTATTTGAACAGAAAGTAGCAGAAGCCTAATTTTTTTCACTCATAGATTGAGAAAATGAAGTTCTTTCAAGTACATATTTTAATTGAATTTAGAATATAGCTTAAGTCTTCAAATTTTGCATTTTCTAACTCTCTAGAAATGGCTTGAGTCAAGCTAAAGTTAGAAATTGTTTCATATCTTGAGTTTGGATTTCTTTTAATGCTTTCCACTGGATAGAAATTTTAAGTATCTATACAGTTTTGATTGGAAAAAAATAAAAATCAAACCGACGTAGGTCTTCCGAATTATTCAAGACCATAATTATGTCGAAATTAGCTCCAAGTCCTATTTTATATGCATTTTGTATTCTGTAAATGAAATGTCTTCTTTTTCAAATGGCTCATACGTATTCTTGTAGACCTTGAAAAGCTGCCTGTGTTAGATCTCTTTAAAAAATTAATGTTCTTTCAAGTGTTAAAAACTTCCACTGGAAAAAGGGGAATCTCTTGGTTTTGTTTTTTAACGCTAGTTGCGAGTCATCTTGAATACGAGACAAAATAGGCAATTGATTTCTAGAAAGCCTAGAGTCCACAGTCTTCTTGTTCTAAGTTTGAATTTGTTCTCCTTTTTTCGTTAACATAATGAAAGTTATAACAAGAAAAAATTGAAAAAAAATCAAGGATTTAGACGCCATTTTTAGTTTTTTTTTAAAATTAAAATTTCATACGCTGAACTACATCTCAGACATTACTTTCAATTACATATTTACTTCTATCCGTGAGTAGCAAAATAGGCTTCCAACACTTTGTATTCGAATAAAAGATGCTTCAACTTTTTTGTGCATACTTATGCATCGTAGATTATTCTAGGTCGAAATTCATCAAAGTGTATCAACGCATTAATTGCTGTCGACGTTCAAAACTGTTTTGTCACCGAAAATCTTGCATTATCCAAAACTCTTGCTCGTCAAGATGGTGCTAAAATTATTCCTATTATCAATGATTTATTCGAAATGTTCCCTTTCATGTTATTGTGTATTCACATGACTGGCATCCTCGAAATCATATCTCATTTTTTGATAATCTAAATTCGCGTAGAAAAGATTTAAAAGGTAATCAAAATCGAACGATAAATATGTACGACGAAGTCACATACACTGACCCTAAAGTCGAAACAAAACAAATCCTATGGCCATCACACTGCATACAAGACACCGAAGATGCAACCCTACATAAAGATCTTTATATTCCTTCCGCGAGTAACAATATTATTTATTTTCGAAAAGGTACTGATCCTGATATCGATAGTTACTCGGCATTTGCAGATAATAATCGAGTTCAAAAAACCGAGCTTGATAAGAAACTTCGAGAACGCAATGCTCCACACATTTTTGTTGCTGGTTTGGCAATGGATTATTGTGTTGAAGGAACTGCACTTGGCGCATTCGATTTGAATTATACAACGTATTTTATCGAAGATGCAGGTGGAGTGATCGACTTCAATGTAGCCAAAGCACACCTAGGCTATTTAAAACAACGAAACATCGTAGTTATTCAAGCGAATCAAGTCAAAGCATTGATTTCCAGTGGTAGTGACAAATCTTTCAGTTCTATATTACTTGTTTCTATCAATTTATTCATCCTACTTTTATTATAAACTTTGAATTTGAGATGGTAGCTTAGATTCCACTAAAATGAGACATAGAACGACAACTTATTTTTGTTTTCTACATCTGTGGTGAATTAATGAAAAGAGCACACACTCGATTCTTTCAAACAAAGTTAGTTGTTTCTGCTTGATGCTCTAAACTACAGAGTAGTGGTTTTCTCAAAAAATGAGGAGAAGGATGGTTTAATTATTAGTTTTCATCAGCTTGTTCAGCTAGCTGTAGCCTAGCGTGGCCAAAGTTGAAGTTCAGATTTCTCGAATTTACACACGATCAGTTTGTAGAGCACATTTAACTGTATAAGAATATAAGTCTTGTTATTTCATTCACTCTAGGGTGTGGGTGTGGGTGTGGATATGGAGTGCAGCTGTATGTGTTAATATTCTCTTCAACCACACCCACACTAGGGACCTGCAGGTCCTTCCAGACCAGGATCCGAGTCCAAAGATTTAGCTTCTGTCGGGCCCGAGTCCATATCCAGCTTTACCTTCAGACCCGGTTTGAATTCAGTTTCGAATCTGAATAGAACTATGTGATGGACAATAACAAGAAATAACTGTATATTGACTTTTTTTCTGAGTATAAACAATAAATAACTACAATCTTGATCCTTTATTTGGTCATCCACACAAAAAGTGCCAAATATTAGTGAAAAAAAGTTCGGGTCCGGACCTGACCGAGTTCGGATCCGGATCCGGATCCAGAAAAACATGGACCCACAGGTCTCTAACTCACACTTGAACACTGCAGTCTGCTCTGCATATCGATGTTTGGAGAAAAATGGTTAAAGCAAATGAAACGAAACATTGCAAGTGACATCTATTTTAGGTCATGTGAAAGTAATACAACAACAAACATCGAATTTCAATCTTTACAGAATAACAGAGAACTATGAAGCAAATTGTCTTGTCGTCGGATACATCAGTGATAAGCAAGGACGTGTGATTGTCATTATCGTGTGTTGTTTTTCTCTCTCTGCTGCTTTTTTGTTCTTATCTCAAAGTAGATAAAAGTTAAAAGTAACACCCTTTTTCGTATTTGGTGTGCGAAGATAACAATGAAAACGACATTTAAGACAAAAATGCTAGGTTAGTACATTCAAGATGATTGCCTTGACCAATAGTTAATCGTATTTTCTTCTTTTATTCCAGGAACTGCGTCTCTGTTATTGTCATTGACCTTGTGTTGGGCAAGAACGCTGCCACAGATGTCACAACAACAGCAACCTGATCCGGATTGGAACCGAAATGCCAGTCAATTGATAATAAGTAAAGGCTATCCATGCGAAGAACACAAGATTATCACCGAAGACGGATACATTCTCACTATTTTTCGTATACCACATGGTCGACAAACACAAACAATCGGTCGACCCGTCCTCCTTCAACATGGCCTACTCGATTCAGCTGCCACTTGGGTAGTCAATTTTCCTGATCAAAGTCTTGGTTTCCTACTCGCTGACGCCGGATACGATGTGTGGCTGGGCAATATACGTGGTAATCACTATTCGCGTGCTCATGTCAAATACAATCCCGATCATGATGAAGAGTTCTGGGACTTCAGTTGGGATGAAATGGCACGTATTGATCTACCATCGATGATTTTTTACATTCTGAATGTGACGAAACAAATACAAATAAGTTATGTCGGTCATTCACAAGGCACTATGATCGGATTTGCCGAGTTCGGTCGTCCAGATAGTATTCTACAAAACAACGTCAGTTTCTGGGCAGCATTAGCACCGGTGGCACATCTAGGTCATGTCAAATCACCGATTAAATATCTAGCAACACAAAGTGTGGAGAAAGATTTGGAGAGATTTTGGCATATATTATTTGGACGCAATGAATTTCTTCCTGCGTCTAAAATTCAAGAATGGCTGGAAGTTATTGCCTGTGATCAACCGATCATGGATCGAGATCTGTGTGAAAACATCTACTTCCTCCTCTTCGGTCCAGACAAGAAAAATTTGAATGCCACACGAATTCCAGTCTACGTAGCACATTTACCTGCTGGAACGTCCGTAAAAAATATGATTCATTTCGCTCAGGGTGTGCAAACCAATGTCTTTCAAGCTTATGATTATGGTTCACCAGATAAGAATCAACAACATTACAATCAAACGACACCGCCATTATATACTATTCGTCCTATGAAAATACCTACAGCAATATTCTCAGGTGGTGAAGATTGGCTTGCAGATCCGACCGATGTAAAATTTATTTTTGACAATCTACAGAGCTTGGTCTATCAAAAATACCTTCCAGATTATAATCATGCAGATTTCATTGTCGCTTTAAACGTCAGCAAATTAATTTATGCAGACTTGATTGATGTTATGCAAAAATATCATCCTCCTATTTAACCATCAAACTATTTTTCGCGTATTTTATCTCTATGTTCATTTTTTAAATATGCTACAAATATCAATAAGATTCATGAAGAATTAATACTGTCATCTGTTTCATAGGTTTAGTCATGATTCCAATTTGTACAAAATCTGTCCAAGTAATTAACGACGTTCGAGGAACTGGAAGGAGTAATCTGGCTAAAGACCGTGATTACAATCACTATCAACTGTCGAAACCTGTGAAAAATGATTTTCTGCGATATTGCACGTGGATTAGGCAGTATTTTATAATCTTTCATTCTCATAAGAAAGGAATAATTATTGCCCATTCTGTTCTTCTTTTACACGTCACAAGCAAGAATGTCGAACAACAGAGCCAGAATATAAGTCAGATTGTCAAGCGAAATTTTCAACTAACATTTCTACACAGATGAGGTACCACCTATCTTGTCTTTCATTTCACATGTAATCGGTACGATGCTCATTTTCCATTAGAATGATTTCTTTGACCATGACATATTCACATCTTGGAGAGAAGGAAAATTATTTTATACATAGGCACTACATATATGTATTAGTGTGGACAGAGAAAAAATGGTTTGAGATCTGAGAGCACAAATACATGTACAGAGTAGGGATTAGCATTTCAATGAAAAGTTTTCCTACTTGTTTTTCTGATGAATAGGTCGATGCTAGTCTAGTCATGTTGACAGCTTGTTGAAGAGCAGATCCATTTGATTGAGATGATAATGATGTTGTTGTAGGTGCATATGTTACATTAAGCAGAACATTTTGGACATTACTAGTAGAAAGTGATGATCAAAGAGGTGGTACTCCAGTGGATGTTGCTGTTGAATTGCTTTTCAAAACATCTGAATTTATGTAGGTATAAAGTTGCCTATCGAAGACACATCATACAAAATCTGATGCGAAAAACTAGATATCAATGCAATCTTCGGCTGCAATATTGGTCGCTGTCATTCATGCAAAGTTGAGGATGAAAATTAAGATGCATTAGAGAATTACTATGATTCTAGGTCATTTTTAGAAGAAAAAAGCAAATTGTATAAACATTCGATTTTTTTTAATTAAATAAAAATGATTGAGTTGAGAAAAAATCTTGATTTGAAAAGTTAATTAGTTCAAAAAGAATTCGTCGTAAAAACTATTGATCTGAAATAACGAAGTTATTTATTCATCTACAAATGATTAAGATGAATTTTCTTTAAAAAAAACCATCTTATTTCTTCTTGAAACGTTCATTCAAACAAATTAATTTTAAATCAATTATATTCTGATGATACAATTTATTGAATTTATTTTACTGTTCATTTTATTTTTCTTCTAATCATCTCTTTTATCTTTTCAAACTTTTAAAAAAGTTTTTGCTCTCTATTGGTTTTGATCTTCTAGTGTAAGAGATAATTCGCTTATTTGAAATATACAATTATTATTTATTTATATGTAACATTATTGAGTACGAAAAATACATTTATTTGATGGTCTTACAACATAATCAAGAATAAGAAAATAAATGGAAAAAGTAATAACAGATAGATGTAGAGCAGGTATTACATCGCTTTTCCAGTCTTTCAAATATCATATTTTTGCAAAGCAGTCAACCTATACACAGATGATACATCCAAGTGTCACTAATATTTTTATTATCATCGGTAAAGATAATAAAAAAACAAATAAATGTGAGATGCCATAAATGAGAAAATCATCAAGATCGATGATTGCATCATCTATATCGTCAATGTAATAAGTAGCATGAGGATTATTATATTTCAAATTCGATGTCTAATCATGAAAAGAAGAAGTATAAAAAAATATACAAGAAATTTAGTTTTCAATTTAAGAAGACCGAATGATCTAAAACTGTAATCTGTCAGTCTTTAAAACATGTACCTAGGTGTAGGTGTGTGTGTCTGAGTGTAAAGTGGGGGTGTGGATGCGGATGTGGAAGTCGGTGGATGTGTTCAAAAGTGTATAACAATTCACACACCAACATCCACACCCTGTGACATAATAAATGTTAAGCTGGAGAAAAGAGTCATGTGTTTTTCTCCTGCTCAACATTTCTTATGTTATAGACATCTTGAGAGTCTATTTATACTAGCGTACATAACCTATCTTGAGTATGTTTTCCATGCAAAATATTTCCCATAGAAATTTCATCTGCAGGGAACTACGGGATAAGATTTGATGAGCAAATGTCTGAAGAGAAGTATAGTGAAATTTTCATAAGAAAGATTTAAAGATAAAAAATATGTTTTCTGGTGCAGTTTTTCATGCTGATTCCGAATATTAGGTTTCATTTTCGACATTTAGCTAGCAAACCACTGGTACAACCGCAATAACAAAAAGTGCGCCGTAATGGATGAAAAAAGGATTACATAGAATACACCAAAGGTATCATATTTCATTGTCAACACAGTATATCTTATCACTACAATTGCTGAGATATGAATACGAAGAGACAATAGCTGTTGACATTCGTTTGAAGTCAGTTAACGAATATTAGAACCAAATCTAACGCTCTCGTATCTACCAAAGTTGACAGTTGCCATCTGTGTAATACCATCGATTGATCCAAACAAATGCAATCAACAACTGTATTCATATTTGCTCTTGTCTGTGTGACAGCTGCATACGCGACAGCAATAGATGATATACGATGCTCGTGCTCTTGCTGCGTCAATGTTGGATGCACAATGGTGGAAAAACCCTCCATTCCAGTTGTTTCGTGCAACGCTACTACGTGCCTGAGAGAATGCCAAGTAACATATCCGGCTGATTGCAGCGTCCCTGGTTCACAATTTGCTGTCACATGTTTGTCGACTGCATCGTATATCTTCAATCGATACACAACTTTGGCTATGCTCGTACTTATCCTCACTGTCATTATGACACTACGTACTTAACATTCATATTATGAAACAGTTTTTCTCCTCGGTTTTTTTTAAAACAAAGTGAGTGACTAATTGAAAATATCAAGCGACAGACTTGTGATCATTAGGCTAAGAGAGCATTCGTCAAAGGCTCTACCAAAATAATGGACAACACACATATGATTAAAAATTTAGATTTTTCATTTTTCTATCTAAAACGAAAGCTTATGGCGTTGATATACTAGAATCAAAGTACTCATCTTGTGGAGCTGGCATTTCAAGAACATCAGTTCGTAGAATACACATACAAAATTACAACCAACGTCACATTGCAAACATCAATATCGATTCGTAAGTTTTCTGAAGAATATTATTTATTTTAACGTTTCCTCTGCAGGTCCGGATCCAGAATTTTTGAGTATGCTATATCTCAACTTCAGAGCATGGGGCTCAGATGAAATTCATGGAGGATGATATTTGATCCAAATGATGAGTTTTTATGAAAAAATTTTTGCGATCGGAGTTTGCGAAAAAAAAGCAGTTTTTT